GATTGGTTAAAACCAAAATGAAAACAATTTTATTTCGTATTCCTAATTTGTACCGGTACGGATTAGGATGTATAATAAAGTACGATTTACGCTCAAAGTCCTCTTCAAAATACACTTAACGCTTTTAGGTTATGAGAAAACGCTGCGCGCTAATTCTACCACCAAATGAATTGTAAAGAAATGCAATTTTTGAAAACCGTATGATTCACAATTTTATGTTTATAGAATTCTTAAAAAACGCTTACAAAAAACGCTAGAATTTTACAAGAAAACTGAAAAAAACTTACTTTTATCAGTAAAATTACATCTCGCACAGGAATCACTGCTTCGGAGCATCACAGCTGGTTAGCTTAGCACTAACTCAAGTAATTACCGACGGATGTCGCTGTATGTTTTATAAATTCTGAGTAATTTAGGTGGTACGATTTACGCGCAAGTACGATTTAGGCAAGTTTACCCTACAATGTAATGTCATTTCTACCTGTCAAAAACACATTTCCGTTAAAAAATGGTTATAAATTTAATAATACATACTTATTTGTTGGTACTATTTTATTGTCAAAATATGTTATTTAATAATACAAAAATATTTATTAATGTTGTAAAATGCAAAACTTTCATAATCAAGGGCTCAATTGTTTGAACCTTTAATAAGAACTATGCCCTGCTATGCCCTGCTTCTGAATGCAAGACTGTTATAAATCATGATGATTGTCATAGAATGACAGGTAGCTGATTTACCTGCGCCTTAGTGTTGCTAGAATTACACTTAGTTTGCAGCTTCAAAATCGCTGGTGTTTCTGAATTTGTTGCTGAGAAAAGGGTTGTTTTACCAACCCTTCTTAAAATAAGAAAGTATTATTCTCAATGTGGACAAAGTTTTTCGTCTCCAAAAAATAATATTCGGAGATTTAAAAATAGTTTAAATGTGTACGAATATGACTATAGTTGGACGGTCCGACTTGTGCACGAGGATAAACGACTCCACCAGGTCAAAGAGAAGTGCAGGAAAAAGAGAAACTATAATAAAGGAGGATGAAAACATTCCCATAACCGGAACAGTACATTGGTTTTACTTAAAAAAGACAATACCTTTTTTCGACAAAATAAAATCTGAAATAAAAAAGGATGGTTTCATTCCATTCATGAGTAAGAAGAAATTATGGAATACCTTAAAAGCAATGCATTTTCATTACGAAAAACCTTAAAACAGAAAATCACTTGTAATAGAGAAAGACAAAAATATCTGCTGGCGAGGAGGATATCTGAGAACAGTTTCGAAGGAAAAACAGCAATATTTATGATCTAGACGAAACTAGAGGAAATGAAGAACATACCGTTGGTAAAGTACGGCAATGTAAAAATTTTAAATGGTTGAGGCGAGCTTTCATGGAAGAATGATCCGTTGAAATAAAAACCCTTTCGGAAAAAGATAAAAGATTAATAATTACTCACATTGGTAGCACAAATGGTGGCGTACTAGTATTTTAATCCACACAGCGATATCAAGAAATTTCGAAAAAATACCTACGTCTTCGTGGGAAAAAAGTGATATTATTGGCTTACTTTAAATAATTCCAAAAAGTTATATCGGAAAAAGAACTACTAGAGGTAAGTTTGATTAACACTCGTTGTGATTGAAACAGAAAAAAGAATAATGAAAACTTATAAATTGCTAGAGAACACTATAAAGCCTTTTACTATTTTTCTGGACTGCAACGATTATAGTTCATGTAACTACTCGAAACATGATAAATAAAATTTAATTTAATTAATTTAAATTTAAAAAGTTGTATTGTAAATATTTTTTTTAAATAATCATAATCATATTTCTATATAAGTTTTATTTACTTGATCTTGGTTAATAATAAGATATCTGAATTATGTGTCCATCTATATACCTAGAATCGTGTATATATATGAACACTGGTCTGGGTTTATTCAAAAATTGTTAATGCATACCTGAAGAGACAGTAATATCTACTAGTTCGACGCAAACTCATGTCTATATTGTTAAATAGTATTTATTGTTACCATTTTCTCTTTTTTCTGGTATATTTTCTAGGTATATTTAATTATTTGTAAAACTATCTTGTAGGCACCACCTAGTCCTGAATGGAGCTGGTAAACCTTTCCACCTCTGGGAAAAGATAACTTTGCTTTAAGTAGGCTATCGAGTTCTCTTTGCTAATTGCCGACATGTTAAGGCTTGTATGAAACGTACCATGCAATTCCTAATTTTTCCAATTTTCCGTTAGCACTTGCCTGTGTTCAGTTATTCTTACATGGTCTTCGTTATTCGAGAGGTCCAGTTCTTTATTTATCCTTAATAAACCCTGAATGATCGGGGTAGTTGACCGCCAGACATTTTTTTTCAGATTCCTCGCTTCATCTACGCAAGCTCCTTCTAAATTTAATAGGCCTTGGTCCTTTTCATCGCGAGGTAAGTACAGCCTTTTCATAGCCAATTTGGCATGGTAGTCGATGTTCTGTTGGGGTTGTTCTGATTTTCCAGATTATATTTCCGATATCTGACTTCAATCATTTAAAGCTGCCGAATATGTAGGTTAGGTATTTATTGCGTTGATTTTGTTTTTGGCATTTAAATCCGTTTTGTGAATAGCTCGTTTATTTGCTTGTGCAACTTGTTAATTTTTGTTACCGTCTATGGCGAGGCCCTGCTGATTCATATGTACTTATAGGTATCCCCCTAGGCTCTTGGATCACCATTAGAAACTTTGCGATTCTTCAAGAGAGCGTGGTTGTAAATTATACTGTACATCACAATCTCCTTTCTACCACTTATTCGCGGCCGACTTCCATTCGGCTCCCAGGCTATGATCTTTATGACGTCAATGTGTTGTGATATTTTTTTAGTTAAAACAGAAGTGAGTATCTTGTAGGATGTGTTTAAGCAAGTGATAGGCTTGTAGTTTAATCATGTGTTGGTAGTTGCTAGACTTTTCCCATATTTCGTTCTACAAGTTGTACATTCTAATTCGCCCGGTTGGTTGATCTCCCTGCATCAGACTCCCACAGAACCATGTTTCGACTTGTTAGTATTTGCCCTTTAATGACCTCTTTGCAATCTGCTCTTTTGTTTGCAAAATTTCGGGTGTTACTTTTTGTTTCAGTTTTTGACTCAGTCCGTTTTTCTCATTCAGGAAGTTCTGCAGGTAACTTGCTTTCTTATATTCTTTTGTCTCGGTTCCCTACCTGGTTGTTTCACCTATATCGTGCGCAGTCTCCAGTGGGTTTATTAGAACATTATCTAGCTGTCTTATTATCTTTTCGGGGTTTATTATTATTGTTATTATTATCATTATTATTCGCCAAACTCACCTTTTTATTGTATGCAAATTAGTGTGGCCCTAATTTAGGAATGATTAGGGGTATGTAGGTCTTAAAAACTAATACAAGAAACTTATCGCAGACTATCATTGTAATTTATTTATACTTTATGTTGTCCACCCTTTTAAATAATCCCTGTCATTGCAAGTATACATTTCATTATTTTCTGCCATTAAGAAGCGAAATGTATTAGATTTTTGTTAGACTGTTAATTTAGAACTCCATATGAACGTCTTTCGAAAAAACAAAAAATGTATTATTGATTTATTATACAGAGTCTAAAAAAAATAATTTAACTATATATTCTTATATCATCATATATCAGGGTTTCCTTATACCAAGGTAAACTTTTAAAATGAATATTTATTAATATCTTCGGCGCCTTTTCAGGTGCATTTTTAAAGTTCTACTATTATTACACGATTATGATTTTTAGACAAAAATTAAAAGAAGTAATAGAAAAAATTGACTCACTCATTTGCGCAAAAATATCGAATTTTTATTTCAATATTTCTATACATCCCTACTTATCCAACCATATGTTATGATTTATTAACAATTTTATTAATTATAATAAACCCGTAACATAAATTTAAAAAAAAGAAATTGCACAAAGATGTTATGTGGTTGATAAATAAAGTTATGCATATTTTTTAAAAAATTAAATTAATTGTATCCCCTATGGCAAATATTTTGGAAAATATAAATGTAAATAAGTTTACTTACCTGTTTATTAAATACTACGCAGAGATTCTCACCAGAGATGCGACACTTGATAAACAATTTAACAATAAACGTAGGATTATAATTTTTCCGGCCACAAAAACAGAACAACAATTCGAATTGATGCTACATATTCTTATCCACCGCTTGGAATTCTATTAAATTAAGAGATTTTGCGATATTGTGCCATTTCATATCGGCGACTGCCATAAATTACTTTCCTTTTTCAATGGAAACATTTGTTCAAGCGTGAAATGCCCCGGTTTTAATTAGGAAATTAAATATGTACATAAAAAACCCACATAAGCAATTTTAAACCGTCATTTCCTTTCGGTGGTTCCAATTTTATTGCTCTTCCAAAATAAAATTAATGTTAATGTGGCGAGTATTCATTTATTTATCAACAGCTAAGCTCAATCGCAGTATTCATTAAGCTCACAACAATGACAGAATTATTAAGAATAATAACTACAGTCCAAACTAATTAAAAAAATTAAATAAGAAATGATTTTCATTAACAAGTTGATCAGGATCAAGAAATAGATAATGAAAGAGTAAAATATCCTGAGTAAGTATTAGTAATATATATATATATATATATATATATATATATATATATATATATATATATATATATATATATATATATATATATATATATATATATATATATATATATATATATATATATATATATATATATATATATATATATATATATATATATATATATATATATATATATATATATATATATATATATATATATATATATATATATATATATATATATATATATATATATCTTATATCCTTGCATTTCAATTTTGTAAAGTTAGTAAAAACTCTGTGGTTTACAATGGTTGTGATTGTTTTCTGTAGTGAATGTCACATGAAAATATATTTCGCCATTTACAACCACTTACCTCAGAAGAAGTCAAATAGCAAAGTCTGGAATCTGCACTTTCTATGGATGCTTGCTGTACTATCCCGTACCTGTTAGATTCTCTATCGCTCATGTAATCCGATCTCAGGCTGTCTTGCCGATTGAATGCAGCCCTGGAATTAGTTTGCTATGAAGGCTTAAAAATGAAAATATCAAAACTAAACTCATTGAATAATGATCAATTCAATTCAAGATTTCTAAAAAGTGGAACATAATTTTCTTCCAAATTTGTTGAAATGTTATGACACCATCGTCAACTTAAAAGAATTAAGATCAGGCACAGGACACACAAAAAAAAGTTATGTCTTCTTCTGAAAGTATCTGCGGATTGCCTATTATTTCAATTTTTTTTAGGAAATTAAGTCTTTAATGTAGGTAGGTAGACTACCTATTCGACATTGAAAGCTCAAACTCTGACAGCTCTAAATTGGATTTGATAAAATTGACAAAATATCTCAATTTATCGACTTTGTTGGAACGGCCTATTTTAAATAATTAAGACGTAGAAATGACAGAGGAAAATGTGCCATTCTCCTCCGCAAATATGCTGAATGAATATTTTTCTGTTCTTTTTAAGCAAATAGGGCTGAAGGGTTTAGCTCTGATAGCACCAAATTTTATTTGAAAAGATATCATAATTAACCGATGTTTTTGAAATGGCATTCAGATAATCAGGAGAAAAAAAATCATCAGTCAAAAAGAAATCGATAATTTCTTTATATTGAATGTTACTGGTACTGTTTTTTGTCAGATTTATTTCTTCTTCCATTGTCAAATCGCTTTTGTGATTTTCTAGCTATCGGTTCATCACAGGTAACGTTTTTCTTAAACTTAATATTGCAAAGTTACCTCTGTTCGAAACTATCAGCTCTATTGCTCTTATAACCGCTATCGTTCATGCTGCTATCCTGCCGTAAAGATGGAAGCGAATCCCACGGGGACCGTTTGTGACCTGGTGGGATACCTCCTTGAGCGGAACTAAAAGTGGAACTCCCTGATCGCCATCCATCCGAATGCCTGAACCATTGTGCCCGGCTAGATTCGCCTATGCAGGATGCACAACGAGAGCTGAAGCTAAAATCGAAAAAACAAGCCTCATTCGCTGGACAAGTTAAGTGTGTGGTAGGACCTTTGGTTGAACTAATCCTGCGAAGAGACTGAACAGTTGCATAGGAACTATAACACTCTGAACCTTCAAAAGAAACCTAAATCTACAACGAGTATTTAGAAAACCCAGACATGTTGAAACACTGGGAGATGAACATGGAAAGAACCTGGCAAATAATAAAGATGATCTCAATGAATCCGAAAACTATATCCTAAAGCTTTCGCAGAGTGAGATGTGAGAGCAAACTCAATACAGCAATGGTAAACTCCAAATTCATAGATCAGAAGTTGAAAGGGTGATAAAACTGGCTAAATCGAATAAGACACCCAGGCAGTACCAAGTTCCACACCAACAACTAAAACTATTGGACAATGGTAGCAGAATCCACTTTAAAAAATGCTTCAACTAGATATATGATACCCCAAGACAGTCAGGGACCATAAATGCGAGTACTTTAGATTCATCGGCCTAATAAGCCAGACTTTCAAGTTACTACTTAAAATTTCATAATATAGGATATATAAGTTATAGGAGAACGAGTTGGATGACGCGCAGTTTTGCAGACCTTTTTGCCACGTGTTCGGGAAAAACGTAAAATATTTAATATCAGGTAGCGGAGCAATCATGACGCTCTAAACCTCAGGCAGCTAGATCAACGAAAGTGGGAACTTTGATGAAGAAATCCATGCACGCATTGTCTTGTCTTAAAAATTCAGGACTTCAAAAGCTTAAGATAATCTGGGGTCCTCCAACAAGGACGTTCTTGTCATGATGAATACCAGACTCTAATTAATTCCATAAAAGGACATAGGGGGACAGAGGGGCTTAAATATCATCTATCTCTCTTTATCACCCACTGCACGCTTATTTGTGAGCAGCTGGCAGCTATCAGAAGTAGGAGTGACAAGATCAATTTTCTCTATCAGTGTGTTTTTAATTGAGCAATGAAAAAGACTGTATTTGAGACTGAGGCGCCCTCAAAATGAAAGACGTGTGGCAGTTTCAACTGCATCTGCAAGTGGAACAGAGATCCCAGTGGACCAAAAGGAAAACGACAGAACGAACGTAATTTACCAGGGACCAAGTCCCTTGCAATATTAGGAAAATAAGCATTAATTGGTTATGTAAATAAGCTAAATCAACGGGATGAAAAAAGCTTCGCTCGCAGTTTTGCCGGACATCTTTTATTCAACGACTGATTGCATTATGCATTGCCGCAAAATCGTGTAAATTCAAATTGTTCGTCGACGCTGTGACGTTGAATAATAATAAAACAACCTAATTTTAGAACACGCCTCAGAATCGGATCTTTTAATCTCTGGAAACTTGCGAAGCAGCCTGGCATTTTAACGAACCAGAAATAAACTGAAAAGAATGTAAACGTCACGTAAACTTATACAGACTCTTCAAATAGTAAATGGAACATATTCAAATATATATGAGGTAATTTTGACTTAAACTTATGCAGTTGAATAGTTAAAACTGCAGCACTTGTCCTGGACGGACAAGTAATTAACGTAGCTCTTCTTTAGTGTTTAAAGTTAGTATTATAGTTACTTCTCCGCCGTTGTTGGCAAAGTTAACAAAAAAGAAGTGTAGTAAATGAGGATGAAAAGACTGCCATCAGAAGAATAATTCACCTCGAAAGATAAGGTCTCAAAATGAAAAAGGATGGTTTCATTCCACTCAAACCATTCAAGGAAATGAATTTTCACTTTTAATAACGAAAAAGGAAATTATCTGTTGATGACGATTATATTTAAGAGCAGTTATACAGTTTGGAAGGGAAAAAAATTATATATATGGACATACTGGGGTAAAAAAAAATGGATGAAAGCACCCTCAGAAAAATTTCAATTCATTTCAATCAAACCGAACTACTTTCCAGCAAATACCAGCTTTTATTCCTCCTGGGTCTTTTATAGTCATGCTGTCACTCAAAAAATCAAAAAGAAAACCCCGTCTTCCAGGAAAAAAAAACATCATTTATTAGCTAATTTTAAATAAGAATCAATTTCAGACGGAAATACTGAAAAAGGAGCTACTGGAGATTGTGAATTTGAATAAATATCGACAAAACTAACTATAACGGAACTTCGCCTTCCAACCTATGACTGTGAATCTAACTCTGCAGAATTTTTATAGGCACATAACACTACTTTAAAAAAGAACGTATAAAAACGGTGGATTCTGAAAGATGGTGAAAGCGCGAGGCAACACGTGATCCGCTGGTCTTAATAACTGAAATAGGAAATTTCTCGCAAAATGTTACAATTTATCTTAACTTTAAGATATAATCTGGCATTCTGAATTTACATTGCACTAAAAAACTAAATTATAGAAATATTTGAGTCGCTATATTTTCTCTTAGCAAAAATTCGATAACAAATGCAATTTTATCAAAGCTTTTTCACTAAAGAGTCGGAATTAATATTCACCAAAATGAAGGCTGTTAAGGTTTACAAGGATCCTGGAAGAGAAGAAATTTGCCCGGAAGGGATTTCACAATAGATGTGTAACTTTTATATTTAGCTGAGACTCTAAAAAGTCAAACAATTCGACCTCGATGTTAACTGGAGAAGAATAATCTATCAAGACATGTTACGACGTCAGGGGACCAGAAAAAACTTGCTCATCTTGCTGTGCGTGAGTATATGAGTATTGATTGGAACAAATCTTAGCAAATATTGAATAGCAAATAATAAGTTAATCAGTACTACGACAAATCAAAAATTGCACGTAGGAGTTGGGTTCGATATTGAATTGAATTGAATTGAATATTACGAATGTTGATTAGATCAAATTTTAGCAAAATTGGATGAAAAAGTTGAGTTTGATATTCACTAAAATTCGCGCCGTTGTGATCTACAAAAATACTGAATAAGAAGCAATTTCCCTAGAATAAAATCGACATATCACTTGAATATTCCCTAGAGTTAAGTTAAACAATTAAACCTCAATATTGTCTAGAGGGGAATAAACTATCTACAAATGTTACGAGGTCAATTTGCCAGAGAAAATTTGCTCTTGCTGCTGTGGATGACTGAGTGGAAATGAAGAAATGTATAATGAATATTGGTCCGAACAAATTTTAGCAAATATTCAATAACAAATGAGATGTTAAACTTGTTAGTCAATGGTGGAATAAACACTGGATCACTAAATTTTTGTGATCCGTTTCGCATAGGACAACAATGTATTCAAAAATTGCACCTGCTAAAACCCACTTGGCCCAGGACAAAATTTTCTCAAAATGGAACAATGAAGTCGGGTTTAATATTCAGTGCTGGAACAATTTGTCGAGAAGAAAATAGAAATATTTTCGAATAGACTTCAATATTCCGCAGAGAGTCATACAAATTAAACCTCAATATCATCTCGAGAGGAGAAGGTTACGCGGTCAAGGTACCAGAGAAAACTTGCTTATAATGAATATTGCAAACATGCGAAAACAAATAATAGGTTAAACTTTTTCGTTAACAGTGAAACAAACACTAAATCAACCAAACTTTTGAATGAGAAACCATTTGGCATAGCACAACAATTTCTTAAAATTACATAAAGGAGTAGATCTTCGAGGATGCTCTCAGAAGAAAATCGACATATTTTGGAATAGGCATAACACATTAGTATTCCGCAAGGACTATAAAAAGTATAAAAATTAAACCTCGATCTGGTCTGGAGAAGATTAAACCAGCAAGAAACATTAAGATGTCAGGGAAGCTCCTGCTGCTGTGGATAGGTCATGGAAAAGAATTGTTCTATGAATGTTGATAAAAAAAAACTTAGAACAACCAAAGAATATACATTCTAGATGTTGGTAGATGGACGAAACTCATTGTGCTCATAAATTTGAGATAGAACAATAATATATAATTCTATGGCGCACCTTGAGTTGTGATCGCTGAGGTACCCCCTCTCTCTTTCGCGATCTTTTTCACGTTCCCTGAGCAATTCGTTTCGATCGCTGTAGTATCCGTCGCGATCTCTGTCGCGTTCCCTAGACGTCGCGAGTCTGTGATTGAGCGGAAGAGTCGAAGATTTGTTCATGGAAGCGCTAGATGCGGGTCCTGTTAAATATTTCGTTTATTTTTAATACGTGGTTAATGCTGCTCTACACAGGCAGGATTAAATGACCTTAGTAGCGCATTTCTTTATTACATCACGTATTGGAAATTTCCTGAATACCTTAATTTTAGATGTGTTTCATGTACATAGTCATTATACAATCAATAAATAAAAAATTGTTCAACCAAGGAACGCTACTTACTTTTCCGGGGGGGATAGGGACTTCTTTGAGATGATCCGGGAAGGCTTTCGGCAAATTCTAAAAGAATAAGGTGTTGAATGGTGCGCAAAAACACATCGCGGGTAGTTCAATCGACCATATTGTGCAGGGGTGGAAACACTTTCGATTATGTTACATGCATAAGTAAAAGGTTGTAAATTTAACAAGCATTTAACAAGCAAAGCCAGATGTTTGCAGGATAATATTTATATAATATATGCGGACACATCGAGAAAGTAAAATTTACATTTTTATTTACATTGGTAGCTAGGTTTAATTTATTTCAAGGTCGAACGAAACAGAATAGAAACTACTGAAGTTCTGTACCAACTTTCCAGTCTAGCTGCCACGTCTCGCGTAGCCTATATGATACCTAATCCCGGCACGCATTTTGCGTTGTTTCCTACCTAAGTTTTCCATGCTTTGGGTCAGCAGGGCCTCGAACGTGTGCAGACTGTAACTCTCCGCGTCCATCCCTTTGGCTAAAGTATTCCTCAAGTGCATTTCGTATTCCAGAAGCAATCTGCTAGTTGGAGAGCCAGGTGTCGGGGTGGCGTTTGAATTCTGTAAAAGTTTACAATGAACTATGATGACGAGATTGCTAGATTACACTCCACCTGGTGGTGTAGATGTCGACGGCTGTAATGATGCGAAGCTTGCTCTGGATCGGAATTACCGTTGCTTGAGCTTGGCGTTGTAGCGTAACACTGGTTATCGAATATTATGTTATCCGAAGGAGGTGAGAAGTCTCCGGCAGCTCCCCTTTCAAGCTCCAAATACAAACCTCTTCCGGGGTATCCACGACCGATTTCGTGCGACGACCTAGAAAAGTTATTTAGTTACCACCTTCGTGCTTACAACGTTCTGTCTTCTACCTGGATCCAGAAAATCTGGAATTCTGTGCCATAGCAGACCGCGGATGAGGATGTCCTGATTCAGGCTCAGAGAGTCGACCGTTGTTGTTCATTTGTCGCTGCTGATGGTGCGAATTGTAATAGTGATATCGTTTCCTAGTCATTTCCGGTGACGTCACCGGACTTTCTTGGCTGGGCATCGGCTTGAGCATACGTTTCAGCGTGTTACTGTCGAGATTCATCCCCGGTTCCCTAGCGTTCCCAAAAATAACAATTAGCTCTTCTTTGGCTCTAAGCAGCATTGCGGTTAGTAGTACCTGTTCATGTCTTCCGTGCTCTTCGATTTGTTTCTCCTTCCTTGGAGCGTATTGGCAAGGTTGGCGTGATGATGGGATGCCCTGAGTTCAGCGTCTCGAACCATGTCAATCTCCGAATAATCGACGGATTTCGTATTCGTGAGCACGTGATGCATGTTCTCCCTCAAAGGTCGAGTCGAGGTCGAAGAAGATTTCGTCGTCGGTGCTAAAGTACCACCGGCTTGGGTGCCCTCCGATTTTTGGGATTCTGTCGTTTGCGATTGCGTTTCAGTCTGGCTGATCTACAATTTTTGAACAAAAATACCCACTTTTACTTCTTCTATTTTATCCTAATCTACAGTGTGTCCAACTTAACAACCGTAAAGTATGTGCGATTTTGATTTTTTTTTTGTAGGACATCTCTCACAAATGCACTAAAACCTCATTTTGCTTATTGCTTTAACCTAATCTGAGACTATCTAACAAAAGACAAAGAGAGAGAGTACTGTAGGATAAATTGACAACGAATTCTTATTCAGGAGTATTTAGAACCCAAGTTTATTGTATCAACTTAGAGTCCTGGACAACTAGGATTATTTTTTGATGCCAAATATTGAGAAGACTACCCAAACACCTGACTACATTAGTTTCCATTTCACTAATCCTGTGGATAGATACTTTTAGGGATTTTTTAAATTAAAAATGACAATAGATTCGTGTTCAGGATTACGTAAATTTACAAAAAAAAAATTAATTATATAAATTTAAAAAAATATAATGAAAAAGACTTCAAATGTTTTTAGTAACATTTTAAAACAACCGCATTAATAAATCTACAGTATTCAAGTGGTGTAATGTAGATACCAACTAATTCTCTGAAACGACGAAGGAAGATAATTAAATAATCTCTATTCAAAAATTCGTTTGATAGAAGTTTTTTATTAATTCGAAACGATTAAATTTTTTAGTTGCAATTTAAGGCAGCATTGTAAAATACCTACATGAGAAAAATTTTCGATTTAATGAAAGAAAAAAAAACAAAGAATAAATTTAATAATCTGAAAAGACAAAACGATGACTTCAGAAACTTGCTTTTTAGCATTCGTTGTAATATATTTATCTCTGCAATTAAATTAAGTAAAAAGTAGTTTGCGCGGTTGTTGGAATGCGGGACCGCAGGTACAGAATAGTATAACAAAAATAAGTAACAAATAGCAAATGAAATTTTGGAAAAAATGAAATTGTTTAAAACAAAAAGGAAATTAAAGATTAGTTATTTCAATTAGGTCACCATTTTGCACTGTCCACTTCCCAATGCGACTTTGATTGTTGCTAACTACTTGTCTTAGCTCTGGTGTAGCGATGCTACCACAAACTAATCTAATTCAAATGCAAATATTTTCTATTGTTTAGGTTTTAATGTCGCCCACAGTTCAGTTCAGTGATTAGGAAAACTTTGGTTGTGGATACGAGCATCATCAAACTGTAAATACAAAGTATTAATTCATTACAGACATTACAACTAGAGGCAATCTTCCACCCTAACATGGAAGGTGTTACTGAGTCTGGTATTTTAGTCCACTAAACAAATGATTAGTTTCACAAGACGTGCAGCATATTCTTTTATGCAAGCAGTATTTATGAGAAAATCTGGCTTTTTCATGACTATATACAGAATTTAATTGACAAGATCTTAAAAAAAATTCAAACAAAGTAACTTCTGTAAGATAGCCCTTGGATTGGAATTACGGAACAAAGCGTTAAAACAATTTAAACAATCCAAGCTGTCCATATATTATAATTACTATAAACTTACTAGGAACTACACACAATGGCAGCTAATGAAGAAAAAAAAAACAAATTCTAATTCTACAGAGTAGTGGCGTGAGCTACAAAAACGTAATATTATAAAATGCAACCAAAAGCACTCTACCTAATTGTCTTAATAATGCAGATGCTATTAGTAATTTTTTTATAAGCTCCAGTACCTCTAACACCGTGCCCCACCCCTAACTTCTTAACTTTTATGAAAATAACTTTATAGATGGAGTTGATGAACAGTTTAACTTTAGCTGACGAAGTTGAAGTGTTTAATATAATTAACACTAATTAAGGCAACGGGAAACGACAGTATTAATATCAGTTTAGTGTAATTTGTTGTTCCCACAGTTGTACAGTATATTGTCCATAAAATTAATGAATTTTTTTGTCCTCATATTTTCCTGTACTTTTCTTGAAAAGAAGTACAACTCATCAAAATCTGTAGTCTTTAAGATTCTACACAAAATATGGACAGGCAAATAGGTGCTCAATATTTACAATATTTTGCCCCCGAAACAATGTAGTTTAAGATCTATTTATAGTTGTGAAAGCGCCTGTGCAGATATAATAAATGATATTTGCTCGAACTTGATATTGGCAAAGCCATTAACATGATAAATCATGAAATCCTCATTTCAATTCTTCATCACATAGTAAAGTGTCTTGTAAATTCCTATCATCGTTTTTAAATTACAGAACACATAAAATGATACTTAAGAAATCTGCCTCTTGCCATTTGGCTATTAACAAGGAAGTACCCCAGGGTAGCATTTTAGGTGTATTTCTGTTTGCGATTTTTACATCCAGATTTGAAACATCTCTACAATTTCGTGATTATCATCTTTACGCCCACGACAGACAACTTTACTTGTCTTTTTTTGAGAAATGCATTAACGAAGCAAAGAACAATATTCATTATAATTTGACTTCACTTAATGTTAACAAACCCGCAGTGATGGAAATTTGGAAATGGCACTCAAACTGCACTGCCTTTTTGTAGCAGTTGAAAAAATTTTGGACTTGCTCTAGATTGCAGGGTAATATTTAGAGACCGCATTACAAACAAATTAAAGATTCAATAATTTGAAGTTAATTTATCAAAATCCTTATTGTCACTCACAGTATTCCAAGAAGCTTAATTGTAATACTCTAGTGCTGCCATGGTTTAATCATTGTAACAACCAGATGCCTGACTTTCTTAGTCCTTTGTTACCAAATTTAATTCGGGATGTAATTTTGGAAATATTGCTATATTCATCAATTTCAAGAGTTATGTCATTTTCTAAAAATCGGAGAAAAGTCCCTTCAAATTTTCATGAAAAATTATGGTCCACTTATTTTTTCGTTTAAAATTGCTCACCCGACGTTCACCCTGGTAATGTCTCTTTGCTGTATCACTGACACTCTAACATTCTGTGATTAAAGTTTTTGGATATATTTGAGTTAATTTACACTTGGGCCACTAATACTGGACTTGATGTAGGGAAGCACTCCAATATTCGCTTCTTAATCAAGTTTGACATGATTTTAATTATTAGATGATAATTAAAAATACCTAATTTTAAGAAAATCGTTAGTGTCTTTCAGTAACATGTATTACACAAAAAAGTAACGATCCAAATTGAGCCATAAACAAAGCGCGGCTCCCTTGATATTTCGAACACTTCGAAAAATAGTTCCGGTTGGCCATGACTAGGCTTCAGTGCATTTTTAAGGAATCTATCCAAAAAAACAAAAAAACTCAAAATCAAACCGCAAACAGAGAATTTAAATGAGACAAGCTTGTGCAATAGTTGCATGAAAATAACACAAATTTGTAGTACGGGATTATATTTTTTGATTATATATATGAAATCAGGTGGATAGTTAAAAGTGAGAATATCGAAATGAAAAATACTAAGGAATAAGAACAACTATCATGTTCCGCCTTGACACTGTGTGTGCCTTGTGACTTTATTATCACATGAGCATCACATTATAATAAACTGCCACCCAAATGCAGTTAATGGCTCGCCAATTCTGTACCTGTGAGCCTATATTGTTCTCTGTTCCAACGGAAGCAGTAACGGTTTTTGGCACAGGATTGGCATTTGAAGTCATCGTACTTGTGTCAGACTGGGGCTGCACCCCTCGATCGCGGGTTTGCCTGGTTTGACTTCCTTCCCTCTGCGTTCCTTTAGTAGCTAAAATTAAATAGATGTAACCTGTACCCGTACTGTACCAAGAAAAGAAGAAGTTACTCACCCTGTGTTGTTGCGGCCTGCGAAGCACCAACGTTGTCGTATAAACTAGTGGAAGATGTAGCTGCCGCAACCTTTTCTGTTCTCGTTTCAGAATCGGAAGCTCTCGTTGTCGCCCTTGGAAGAGTAGATGATCCTAAACATTAAAAATGGAAATAACATGAGTTTGTATACTTACATCATTTAATCAAACCAGCAAAATAGAAAAGAGAAAGTAGATTCTAGAATTTCAATTCAATTTAAATGCATTTAGAAGTCGTGAAGATGTTTTTCTTGGAATGGCAACCATAGGAGTGATGATTTCGGATGAAGTGACTTTAAGAATATTTAAATTTTTAGGGATCGATTATTCTCCGACTGTAATTACCAGGGGACAACTAAAGCTGATTTAACATTTCAATACTTTCCGGAAAGATTTTCAAAATTTCTATATATATGCCCAGTGTTAAAGAGTTGTACCACTCGTCGTCAGATATTCACTCAGTGGTCGCTGATGCATGGAATTGCGTCTTAAAGAGTGCAAGAAAGTTTGTAAATATCTAAGGCGGTATATCCAACAGACATTTTCTGGCATTTCCGTAGTGATCAGTAAGTCCCGTAAATTTCTGGCTAGGTATATGAATGATGGATTTTTAAATTCGCATCTTCAGTATGTAAATTTTAAACGTGCTGTCAGAAACTACTATCATTAACCACTAAACTGCAACGTATGTACTTGTTAGCATCTGTGAGTTACTATTTTTTATCAGACAATGCTTTTTTTGGTTAAGCAACGATAAAAGAAGCGGAATTTCTTCACGAACGTTGCAACGACACCAAAGAAGGGGCAATTCAGACTTTCTTTTCGGACGGAAACCAGACTTAAGAACTGCCCGTGAGCAGCAGTTGGTTGCTCTCATTAAACTGCTGAAAAAAAGACGATGTGTGCCTGACAAGGATGTGGTCAAGAAACCAGCTTCTGGTTTTGCTGAAAACTGGGTTTTCAAAAGAAACAAAGTCATTGCCAGTATGGGTGACGTTGAAAATTCCTATAAGCTCTTGGAAGAGGTTTCAACTAAAAATGATATAATGGCCAATCGAGGAAAAGTATTTTACTATGAGACATGAATACAGATAAATAATAAAGCTACTAAAGTCCCAGCAATTAAAGGTGCATACCCTTACTTCGACAGAAAAGTGAGAAAATGTCTGTTATTTCTTACGTCAATGCAGAAGCGCAGGTCTTGCCCCGAGTTGCAATTTTTAAGTGGAAAATTAAACGGGACGAATTTGTAGAGGGCCTTCCACCAGCTTTGAAAATATTTAAGAAGCCTACGTTGTCTGCCATTAATACGGATTTATTTTTTACATTTTTTGTCAAGGAAGGGTCTGAAAAGGCAGTTTTAATTTAAGATGGACATGTACCTGTAGAAAATGAAGTAGTATTGGAGTGTATGCCACGTCACGCCACGCAAGCGTTGCAGCTCTTGAATCGTTCGTTTTTGAAACTAATATTAACCCGCCTAGGATAAACTTTTCAAAACTCATAGGAAGGGCTTGATGTAAAGCTGCTACATTGGCTAATGATGTAGTTTCAGGACTTGCATATGCATATCACATCAGAATTCTTAATGGAGAAGAATCCCAGACTAATAAGCAAGAAAGAAAAGGCATTAGAGTACAATGATAAATAGCCTGTCATTACCAAGAAGAAGAAAGTGAAGACTTCTGAAATTAAGTAATTAATCAAAAAATAGCTGGTTTTGGATAGCTTTTGATCAGACAGAAGACATTTGCATTGCAATGCGGAAGTATTATTACACCACGACATCAAAAGTCATCTGGATTCATTGTTTAAAAGTCTGTCCTTCCATTTTATATCGTTTGGTAAGTGGGCCAATACCGAATCGTTCTTATTGCCGTGTAAAAGATGGATTTAATTTACTCCGAAGTCTTTCCAAGAAGTTTAAATCAATGTGTAAATATCGGTCTAGGCTGGCAATCTTCAGATATTACATTCAGCGCCCTTTCCCATAAAAGCAGAAACGCAAACATCAATTGAATTTCGTTGATCCGAGACGCCTATACCTTACGGAATATTTTGTAATTTGGAAGGCGTCGTAAACACAGCTTACAATGTCTACTAAAGGTCGGTAACCAAAACTAATTGTATATGCTATTGCAAAACCCGGTAATGCCGTTATAGGTACTGCCTAGATCGCATACCAAGACACTTGATCTAAATAAAATTGTCTTGTAAACTATGCGGGAATAAAAACAAAGAGATATAAGCAAAATTCGAATAATATTTTAAACAACATTTAGATCAGTTGAGCCTCACCTCGGTATCGTGGATCTTGAGCTCTCAATCTGGCATACTGTTCAGCAGTCATACAAGTGCATTGAGGTTCTCGTGACGCTCTAGACGGCGATGCGGGTGTACTGACCGGCTTCCTTTTCTGTTTGAACTTCTGCTTTCCAGGCGGTTCCAGCTTGAGCGAGTACGACGAGGAAGCTTTACGAGAGAACTTGAACGAGGGCGACTGCAACAAGTCACACTACGTTTAATAAGCATTTTTTAAACCGCTACTGTCTTATGTGTCGCCAAACGTACTGATGAACAATGTCCCTCGCATCAATAAGTTTGGTGCTAAATGCCTATGATTATGAATACTAGACCAAGAGAGCTATAAAGCGCTAAAACTATAAAGCAGCTTAAAGCACGATAAATGCATATTTGAGGCCATAGAACGGCTAAATGCCTATGATTATGAGTACAAGCAAGAGAGCTATAAAGCGCTAAAACTATAAAGCAGCTTAAAGCACGATAAGTGCATATTTGAGGCCGTAGAACGCGCCAAGAGAATAAAATACTTACACAACATTCTCGAAACTGTTTGGCATCTATGGGCGAGGTAAAATTCAGTCCCCAAGTGTCATTGGTCATTGGATCTTTCCAATATACGAAGCATTCCGAAGCTTGACCTATTCTCGTACCTGGAATCATATAAAACTTGGTCACTTTGATGGCTAATACTTTCGAATCGATAATGACACATTGCATTCCTACAGACAGAATTTTGAAATAAGCTATTTACCTTTCGTACTGTGTAAAAGGTTTTGTGGAATGGTGGTTCATAACTAATATTGGATACCCTTGTATTTTGGAAAATAAATTTTCAAATGCATGGAACATTTCCAGTTTGACTCTTTGACCAAAAAAATCAAATTCTAAGTTCATTCCTCATGCCTGTCCCAAATATTTGAAAAAAATATGAATCAACAGGTTAGAGAACCCTGAATTGCGTTTTCCGAATTAGAAAAGAGTTGTTTTGATCCAGATTATCTAATTCCTCAATTTATTGGAATCTCTGAAGCAGCTGCTGGATTCATACAGGATTATCTACACAAGATACAGTGGACCCTAACAGTGCTGTGCCATCTGTGGCATTCCTTAAGAATATATTTTAGGTCCCCTATTTTTTACTGTTTACACATGGCATCTTGGAAACTGTGTTAAGCACTGTGTAATGCATTTGTATGCATAAGTCTATCTATATTTCAGCCTGACCAACAAACCTAACCTCGAGGACTCATAAATGGCGATATGGAAGGGCTAAATTCATTCTCAAAAAAATACAGCTTATTGAAATGATTATATAATCATACATACAGATGTAAACCATATACTCTTTCAATAATAGTATCGAAATATAATTTTGGATTTCTCACTCGCAAAAAAATCCTTTAATTGTTAGAGTCAAAATTAAAAAAAATAACTTTCCTAAACTGCAACCATAGTATAGAGCTCAGCTGCCATAAAGTTATGTATTTTAATTTAATCTATTTTTTTCAAATATTATCGGCCAATTTAGAAGAATGGCGTTACAAAGAGGGATTCGAAACTTAGCTTACCAGGTTGAACCAATCGTACGTCCAAGATTTTATCCACTTGCGAATTGTACGCAGTAATGTGAAACACACATTCTGGCGAATCTTGAATGCACGTTATATTCACCGGTACCAGATCTTCGCTAACTTGTTGCCACTTCACGGTGCCTGCGCCACTAGCCGATACGTGAAAGACTTCAGCCCAAAGACTGAAAAATAAATTCCTTGATCAATTTAAAACCCGAAAATTGAGCTAGTCTACATTTTCGAACGTGAAAAATATGAATTTGGTCCACATTCGGAAGTTTAAAAAGGCACCGTACCTATTTTCAGTCCGAAATTACAATATTTTCATCGAAATCGAACCTTGAATGATATTATAATATCTAACTCACCGCCAATAATGTGCAAGTTTCCATACACACATTAAACACACTACTTCTATGTTCATTGGCTCCAGGAAACTACAAAATTAAACTCACCGTAAGAGGTGTCCATCTCGTCGTCTGGATGTTTGCCAAGGTGAGTCTTCATAGCGGTACGCCTAAAATTACCGATATTTCATTAAGAAATCCGTCGCGATATAAATTAACTTAACGGTATTAGGTTATTATAAAGCTCAGACCGGCATTCGCTACCTCATACTTCACACAAAACACCTCTAGATTGACTAACCAATAAATTTTTTAAAACTTTGAAAAAACAAATGTGCAGGACATACCTTACGTATGAGCGGAGCACAGGAGCAACTTAACTTGTTGCCCATACCTTGGCCCTGGGTGGTCCCTGCTGGGCACTGGCACCGCTGCTGTCACCACATATCCCCACCACCGAAATCTGTACCCATTTTACTACCAGACCACTGTCCCCGTACGCCTCTGTTTAGCGACTGCGATCTCTGGTGGTGACCGGGAAACTGCTTCGGATGTTTGTGCTGAAAAATAATGCTAAATGTTAAACAGTAAAGGCTGAATTTCTTCAAAAGGTTATAAACTCAAGGCTTGACGAATTACCAAGTCAAATAATAGTCAGCCAGTGATTTAGAATACCGTATGGCAGCCTCAGAACCTCAGAACTTTCAGCGAAGTGGTTAATAAAACTGAATAGAAAGAATTGATTTGGAAGAAGGACTTAAACGATGTCTCCACAAGCTACAGAACAGACTGTTCACAAGCAGTGATCTTCTTTCTCCATCGAAAGGTTAATAAAAGAAGAATTTGTCAGTGTAACTGTTACCAGACGCAGCTGAGCTTGGCAAATGCCTAGTTAAAGACCGATATGTAGGAAGGTAACGACATAAAGCGGGATGGAAATCTAACCACATAATAGAGACTATTAGAAAGAGTCAAAAAGCTCAAATACGTCGCACATAGATTAATTGAAAAAATTATATTAAGAAGGAAAAATACAGTGTGGCTGTTAACAGTTTACTATGGCCTCGTAATCTACTCAGCAAATTAAAGCTCAATGGATGCGAAGCGTGGACTCTAAGAGAACAAGAGAAACTGCTCTTTGCAAATAAAATTTTAAGAAAAATTTCTACAAGATTCAATAACAACTTAGTGCAGAAAGGCACATGCACTGATATAAGAGTGATGACTACCAATCCTGGATTACAAGCACAATAGAGGCAGGCTAAGCGCAAAAACCACCAAGACGACCATAACAAAGATGGAAAAACAATATTGGGAGAGATCCAAAGGCCGTGATAGATAATTGGGAAGACTAGCGAGAAATAGAACGCGATGGAAGGCTGTGGTGGCAAATGAAATAAATAAAAAAAATGCATTTCTTTATTATTTTATGAGATCATCTTTTAAGCGGTCTGCCTAAGCTTCGGCAGCCTAAGCATGTATAAAACCAACATCTTTTGCGATTTTTGTTAACAGCTCGTTCTGTCCACATTTGTTTCCATTTTTTTCTGTTACCTATCATCTTTTCAGAATTCAACTCTTCTTTCTGCTTTCTTATATCTCTCTGCTTTCTGTATCTCAGAGTTGGCACAACTACAGTTTTGTAAAATTTGAATTCTGTTTCTTTCCTGGTTTTATTTGTTTGAAAAAACCACCGTACCTATTTGACACTTGGTGTGGTTCTGTTGTATTTGTGGTATTTTTATCTATGCAAATCTCTAAAAGAATATCCTTTCTAAAACGCGATTTCCCACAGCTTTGCTCTATTTACATTATCGAAAGCTTCCTCAACATAGATAAATGCGAAATGAGTCTCATTGTTGAACTCGCTACGATTCTCCATAAATAGTTGTAATATGAAAACTCGATCTATTGTTGATCTTCCTTTTCTAAACCATATGAACTTCTCCTATTAAGCTGATGTCTCTATAGTTTTCACATTCATGCTTGACTAAAGCTATTGCGTGTGCTTTTTGCCATTCGTTTAGCGTTTTCTTCCTTTCGCAACAGATTTTTCCATAATTCGGTGGTGATTGCTTTTTTGCCCTTAAATGGTCCTGTTTTCACCAATAGGTGGGAATTTCATTTCAGGCAATCTCTTCATCATACCAGAGCTATAATGTTTTAAGATATTGTTTTAAGAATGAAACTGTAAGACACGCCCATTCCAAGTGTTCACCTGGTCGCCTGCTGATGGCTACCCTGCGTAACAACGCCTTTATTAATACCGATTGCTTCCAAATCCCAAACAGCATCTCGGCGGTCTGGGGAGGGTCGAGATCGATTGGGATTCGCGGATGACGTCATCCCCTTTTGCGGGTGTACACTTATATTCCCGCGAAATTACGCGTAGGATCCGCCATTCAGAAATACATTTTATTGAGCGTCTCGTGGCGTTTAACTTTTGATATAATGGACCCGACATTTATTTTGTTTTGATAGTGAAGCCGTACGTAAATGGAATTGTTTATATTTTTAAGATATTGTGGTTAGATAGGGATTTCCTCGCGCCTTTATGGAGTTACTAAAAATTGTATTTGATTTGGTTAGTGTTGGTTCAGAATTGAAATAGGATTATTTATAAATTGCCTGTAATTTTCTGGAATTAATTGAAAAAAAAAACAAATTTGTCCTCCTCCACACTACAGTTCTGGTACTATTTGGAAATAATTAATCTATGTCTTCATAAAAAAATAAGTATATTACATACCTTACGGATCTTAATAACATATAAACATTATAAAATTGAAAGATTTTCTTATATCCATTAGTTCATTTACAAATCAATGAAGCATACATTTTTGACAGGATGTTTTGGCACTTATTTGCAAGATCTTTCACTGATGTTCCCTGCGCGTTCTTAGCATTTCTCCTTGGTTTCTTTTCTCCATTCTACATATGTATAAGATAAATTGCAATAACAAACTTTATTTTTATTATATCTAAAAAATATTTTGAGACATTATCGATTTATTTTTTCAATTTAAGTTCAGTATCTATGAAACCATTTGCCTTGCAAATGGTTTCATAGATACTGATTTTATTCTATATTTTGTTGCATTTTTTATATAATGATTTACTATTCCTTTTTATTGGTTGTTTGTTATTTGTTATTGTATCTTTTCCTATCTTTTATTGGGTATTAACTCCCAGGTAGCATAGATCAATAAATAATAAATTAAAAGAAAAAATTTGACTTTGGTGTGCATCCATGTGTATCATAGCAGTTGTGCACTTAAGTCACGTATGTCTTAGATATATTGCTACCACTTTTAGATGCTGAATTCAAAACTGACAAACAAACACACTAGATAAATATGTCACGCTATGACGTAACTGGACAATTGCTCTGATTGAACAAAATCAGTCCAAACCAAACCAGGCTAACTAAAAATTTATAGAAATATCGTAGAAAAAAATCCTATATCTGTCCAGCAACCTTTGAACCAAATTTTTCAGAAACCTCAACAAAACTGACTGACTAACCTGTTCATGATCGTACAATTAATTCTGTGGAAAGATATATAGTTCACGTTTCAAGTCAAATGTGTGATGTGTGTGTGTGAGTGAAAATGTTTGTTCTAGATCCAAGTATTGATTATAGTTTCAAGAGAAAATATCATTAATAAAAACAAATACTAGAACGCGTCAAATGTTTGACTGTAATCCATTGTTGCCGAGTTGTACCTTCACGTGACTAATATAATTTTATTAGACAAAAAGATTAGACTCGTTTATGTTACTTGGTTGTTGAGCTCAGTTAATAGAGTGCTAGAAGACAGTGAAAGTACAACTTGGCGACAGTAGATTGCAGTCACACATTTAACGCCTTTTCAAAACTACCGACTAAAAAAGCGGTATGTATAATTTTAGGTTAGTTATTTGTTTATTTTTTCTACTTTTTATGTGTATTTCTGTTCACTTTGTTAGCAGCTCTGCTGACGAAAGTCTTATTTAAATTAAAGAAAAAATATGTGAAAAAATGTTTTTTTCATCATCAAGTTGTTGTGGAAAATAAACACCTTTAATCCTCAGATTGACTAACGCATCAGACATGTTGCAGATTGCCTAATGCAGACAATTCGCAGTTTGGTCAGTTTGGCAAAATGCCCGCTAAATTGGTCAGTTTACAGGATGCCTAGACGTTTCGCACATTAGCAAATTTTGTACATATCCGGTAACGGACATATACACAGGTCAATTTTGCGTGTTAGTTTTAAGAAGTTACAGTGTCGAGGGAACATCTCATTTAATAATAAATAATAAACATATGTGAATGCTGTTCCTCTTAACAATATTTCTTCTAATTGCAAATTTAAAATCTTTCTTTGCTAATTCTGTCTGAATCCTCTATTCCAACCACATATTTTCAGGTACATTAATTATTACGGCATCACCAATTTGGGCAACAGCAAACTTTCTTTTAGGTTCGCAACATTTTTGTTGTTTTTAGTCAACACTTGAGATGAAAACTTATTCATTTTGCAGTCAGTGTTTCGGAGGAAATCGTCCTGGGTTGTCGCCACTTCAGATGACGATTTACTGAGTTGCAGGTCACTCAGCATTTCTGATGAAGACCTGCTCGGACGCGGATTGGTTAATACTTGAGATGAAGGTGGATTGACTTCTATTGTATCTGTATTTTGTTTATTTATGTCACCAATGTCATCAATATATTTTTCACAAATATTAACCTAAGGTTCTAGCTGTTCGTCGGTTTCAATGTTTGTAATTTGGTCGTTAATAAGAGATGACGATGCTAGTATTACGCCAAACAGAGAACTTTGGGATATTCCTTTGACATTTTTCATGCAGTTAACATATTCTGTATATCCTGATTAGGTCTTTCGATAGCCTTCTCTCTTCACAGAGCGTATAGTTCAGAATGCAATATATCGGGAGCACTTTAGTCTTTAAAGAACAAACTTTTTTAAATGATCTTGGTGTGCCAATATAAATTTGTAATCGCCATCGCTATGTGATTGCAAGTCTATCAAATCGACGTGACATCTAGAGTTTAGTTCGGAACTCACAATCGGTTTTACAACAATACATTTTCTAGATGCACTGTGTTTCACTTGACATTGTTTGCAAAAATTAAAATACAACATTATGTCTTCATAAGTATTTTTTTTTTACAAATTTTTAAGCATTGGCGTTCTTCCTCCATGACTTGTTCATATGTCACTTTCACTATTCGTATGTAACATAATACTGAATATTCTCCAGGTTTCAATGACACAATTTTGTTTTGTTCGCCACTTTTGATAATTATTATTTAATAATTGGATTTATACTGTCACCACATATTGCCTGAAAGCGTTGATTTACACAGGCATTTTTCACGTCATATTCTTCACAAAGCAGTAGTATTTTGTTTTACTTCCGTTAAAGTAATTAACAAAAATTTCAAAAATTTATCAACCCGGTTTTGGATTATTTAAAATGCATATTAATAACTATAGTAATAAAAACAACTAAGCATGCAACAATAAAGCTTAAATAAATTTCGGTCGGAACA